TACTGTCGAATCAGCGCGCGAGAGATGCTGTGACATGCGTTGCCCCGATATTTCGTAAGAAAGTAACTCCCAGCTTCGCACCTCAATCAAGCCCAATTAATAACGAAAACCGTCACCTCATAGACGTTCTTAAAAATACGGGAAAAATTGAATTGCAATTTATCCATTTCCAGTCAGACAAGAAGAAGCAAAAACGAGACGCACGCGCACAGTGCTTTTTCATATTCGCGCGCGATAACGCGCGAAAGGGGACTGAAAAACCTTTTATCCGAGCGGGGACTGGAATCCGACATGACAGCACAGATAACCCAGGCTCTGTGATAGTACCACAATACGGTTCCAGTAAAATTACAGTTTTTGTATGGGGTAAAAATACCATCCTAAAATTTCTAGAAAATACTGAATAAAGATCAATGAAACTTACTCTGCATTTGCCTTGTAACTCCGCAGACTCTCCTGATTATATTAATTTTTTTTTAGCCATTTAAATTTAGGCGCGTGTGCGGGGTTTGCTCTGGCAAATAGTGATTGGCTAGCAAGAACAATTGCCTTCTATCCAGTATTTTTCCAGCAGGGGAGGGTGGCTTTGGGCAATTGATGTATCGGTCCCTAGAAAGGTCACCCCAGGACCCCCGGGATGGAATTTTTTTGTACAGTGCCCAGGCCTCATTTTCTTGGCCGCGTGTTGATCTGGCCCGGCTGCTTCGGCGAGCATATTCTCGGTCTGTTTGGATTATATTCTTCGAGTTTGTCAAAGTCTGTGGGATTCGTTTCTCTATCTGGGAAAGCTTCGTTGGTTTCTATATCTGCTGCTATCCTATTTCTACGATCCTGGCATGTTTATTTTCCGTTACAGTTCGAATTTCGTGGAAAAAGTTGTGTTGAATGAGAGCATGTCGGCGAAAATGGCACCTCGTGCTTCCTACCTTGTATATTATTATTGTAGATAAAGTGAATTTAAACAAATTACTGCAAATTATCACGAAACTTCGTTGGAGCAATAAGGACAACAACAATTAACTGCAGAGTAAGTTTTATTGATCTTTATTTAGTATTTCCTAGAAATTTTAGGATGATATTTTTACCCCATACAAACACTGTAATTTTACTGGAACTGTACTGTGGTACCATCACAGAGCCTGGGTTACCTGTGAGAAATTCTAGGATGGTATTTTTACCCCATACAAACCACAGGTAGCCCAAGCTCGAAATATGAGCATCGGCGAGCATCGGCATTGTTGCGTAACATTCAAAATATTCTGCAACCTACGAAAATGAAAGGATTTCAATAAAAAAACAGCTTACCTTACTTAAAATGTGTGTTACGTCTCTCCTGTGTGGTCCACTGTTACGGAAACGATAGGTTTTTTTCCATACAAATCCTTATATTTTGAATGTTACTCAACAATGCTGATGCTCGCCGATGCTCATATTTCGAGCTTGGGCTACCTGTGATAAAAACACTGTAATTTTTAATACTGGAACCGTACTGGGTTACCTGTGATTGCGCTGGATTTTTATGCTGATTTAAGTTGTTAAGAATGTGTTCTATAATTTCCTTTGAAGTTGGCTTCGTTATTTCACACTAATCAAAGAGTATCTCGTCTAGGATATTATTCTATTGAAGAGGCTATTGACTTCCCACAAGGATGGTACGTAACCATTTAAAAAAATACCATTCAGTCAGGTGTTAAGGTCAGGTCATGATCAGAGACCTAATGCTGCTTGATTATAAAGGTCTACAAAGGTTTAGGTATGAGATTCCTATTTATCTACATTAACAATCATGGATTTCCTGGTAAAAGAGAGGGAAGGATCCTTCGGTGGTAGCCATGAATGATGCTTGATCAGACATGCTACTCTAACGTAACAAGGCAGCCATGTTAGGGGTCAATACAAACAAATTTTTTCTCAAAGAGTTTACATGAAAATAGATTTTAGTTCCCAGAGGAGACAAATGCTTTTGTTCTTGACCACCAACATGGTCGCTGTGACCGGCGTCACTTACAAACTAGCAATTCTTGATCTCTATCTAATCACACCACCACAGGGCCGGGTTGTTCAAAACTGGGTTAAGATGACCCAGGTTCAATGCGCAATTTGAATTCAGATATGAAAGCATATTCATTCTCTTTTTGCATATAATTTGTTAATTGGATGCTCCCAAAAGAGTAGAGAAAATTATCCCTAAAATGGTTTTAAATAAAACAAAAAGAAACCAGTTTTAAAATTTAACCCTGGGTTAGCGCTAATCAGCCTTCGAACAACTAGACCCAGGAAGCTTGTCAATAATCAAATTCCTGACTGGAAGAACCTCCTGGCGAGGGCCTTGACCAATATTTGGGTATAGGTGAGCCTCTGTGCATTGGAACCTGACCCTGTTTTACAGACAAAAAATTCCTAAAATTAATATAAACCCAGTTTAGGACGACACCCTCAATTTTAATACCTTGTTTAGGACAAACGACGAAATGCATGCCCTAGGGGCTGGGGGGGGGGGGGCATGCCTCCCACCCAGTCTTTTACCTCAAAAAGTCAAAACATGCATGCATAAAAGTTGAAAATAGAAATTCACCTCTCAGAGCATTCAGAAACAATGATATCTCTGCAGCTGGGTGAAAAATTTTCTGGTTTTAAGATTCAGAGACCAGGCCAATGAAACCTCGATATAACAAACCTCTATTAAGAAAGTTCTCAATATAACAAAAGATAATTTTTGTCTACCCCAGTAGTACTAAATTATATGGAAAAGAACCTTGACATCACAAAACCTTGGTTTTTTTCACAAATTTTGCCAGTCCCTTGGCACTTTGTTATATTGAGGTTTCACAGTAGTACTAATTATTAACCCTCCTGTAATTACTGTGAAACAATAAATCATATGACAGAAATATTTCTGGAATGTTATTGTCTTCCAAGAATAAAGCCAATCAATGAGAAACTTGACGGCAATTAGATAGTTTCTGGTTTTGTGGCCTGCTCATCTGTCATGATCTTTCCTGGGATTAGTAAATACATGATCAACATTCCTGAAATATTTCACATGCTCATGGTTTTCTGAGTCTGACAGATTTTTCCATATTAACCCTATAAAACGCTATGTTAGACAATATTTGCATTGTATTAACTTTTAACTCGTACCACATATTGAGTTTGGGACGCCTGGCACTTTAACATGAATGTAAAATATGTTCACTTATATCTACATAATGTGATTGTGGGAGTGAAATGGTTCACTACTGCACTAACAGTCAGAATTCAAGTGCAAAGACACTCACTTTCCAGCTTGCCCTTTAGACGTTTTAATTAATGTAGTTTGTACTAGCATGATTAATCCAGCCCCAATAAACAAGACTGTAGTGATAATGGATGCCACAAATTTTTGTTGCACATGATAGATGCTGAGTAACAAACATGTTTGTTTAACTGTCAGTGTGGACACTCAGCCATGACCACTAATCAATCTTAGATACCTCCCCCCCACAACAAAAAAAAACAGTCTGCTCCAATGTGTCATACTGAGACCATGCAACAGTGGCCAACACTGCAAGCATCTTTCATCGATGGTGGAAGTGAATGTGCATCATTAAAAAGTCTGGCTAATGGTTTTGTACCTCTTGACATTATTTGACGGGCTAGAGTCTGTTAAATGTGCGTCCTAAAAACATTATGCCTTTGTTGCCAAGCTGTTTTTATTCCTTCTCTTTTACGAAGGTCAGGCCCGGTTCAGATGCCAAACTTTCATGAGTTGAACCTAATGCACTGAATAAAGTAAATGAAAAATTTGGTGTCTGAATCAATTATAGGAACAACTATTTCAATTTGGAATGGCTCAACCACTCCTCCCACCCCGCTAGCCTAGCGGTGAATTTCCATTATGGCCCGACTTAGCAATGGCTTTGATTCGGATGCCAAACTTTTCAAGTCCCAAAAGGTGAAACCTAATGTATAAATTATTATAACGTATTTTGCAAGCAGTTTTACCGAAATTAGCATTTTTCTCTTTTCTAATTTTGTTCTGATAGAATAAGATCGGCACGTGAATCAATTCAGTCGATCTAAATAATTTGTGTTGGCCTTAATTCGAATTAGATTTGGCTCGTTAAAAGTTTGATCTCTGAACCGGGCCTTAGTGTTGTATCTGGTCTGCAACAAATACACACTGAGCATGACCATAAGCAAACCATAACTTCTACATACTGTGTTCATCCATAAAAGGTGACAGGGCTGACAAGAGGTACCTGTAGAGGGAAGTACATGTGAATTATTTTCGCTCGAAGCAATATATTAGGAACGTCATCGAAACATTTTATAAGAAAAAATTCTCCCTAAGAACACACATTTTAACCCTTACAAGTTATCAAGGTCTAGTGTCTATTATATATAATCATAACTGTAAATTGTTTAATTAAACACTTGATGCGTTATTGTTGGGTGAACATTTTTGGGAGTTGTTGTGTCCATGATAGCAGGGGTAGGCTAACAGATGCGTCAACTCCCGACAATGTTGGGGCCTGCAGTGCATCGTGGGAAGGATACAACCCATGAAAATTTGAAGACCATGCGCGTCTGTGGCCCGAACAATGTTGGAAGAGCTGCAGGTGTAAACAGATTCAACATTGTTGCGCTACACTTCGGCAATCACAGAACAAAAGAAATGTTGTTGGCTCAAAAGTTTGACCGGTTTCAAACTGTGCGCAACAACTCCCAACAACATGCAACAATTAACATGCAAAAGGGTGTTCAAATGGATATGAAATGTAACATCCAACTATATTGGGAGTGGTTGGCCAACAAACAATGTTGAGTTAGTTTGCATGAGGCTTAGGGCCACTTTCTTGTGCAGTTCACTATATGCAAATACGTTTTTTTAGCAAATGAATGTACTTCTCATTTCAGAATTCAATATCTTCTGCATCAAAGGACAGAAATACCAAGTAATACAAGAGGTGAGCTGTCATTTACATTTACTCAGGTATTACATATTTTGTTTACCTTGTTCATTTTTTCTTTTCTGTCTTAGGAATCCATTCATCCAACTCTTCTTCAAAACTACGGTTTTTACAGTACATAAAGGAAATTCTGTCACCCTGCCGTCCAGGCATAACATCAAACACATGCTTGCGTGGCACTTGTTCCTCTCCAACTAACTGTGACACATAGTTTGGTTGATAACCAGGGCAGTTGGGTGCGGGACAGGCTGGCCCACAGTGGAAATTAACAAAAGGGAAATTCCTGTGGCAGATTCCATCAACCATGGAAAACACTTGACACAGCACATCTGATGGCATCATTCGCTTATCTGATCTGATTAAAGAAACGGCAGTATGCTTTTTTACTCTCACCTTAAACACTACAATAGACAATTAGCAGTGATTTTGTTGCCTCTGCGTCCTGCATCCCTGACACATAAAAATCCCAAAAGACGCAAAATAATTTGTGGTAAGCGTCCAAAGATCGATTGATCAATCTGAAGATGTTTTTGTAGAATATCCTTTTTGTGTGAATTCTGTGGCTGTTGTTTAACAATGCATATTTCTTTCAGTCTTTGTTGTGCTTGACAATAGTGGGGGTATATTTTTATTTCAGTAAACTGTAATACAGAGTTTTGGAGTCTGTCTTCAGATTAACTGTGTGGTTACATAAAGACCCTGGGACTCGTGTTTTTGAACTGGGACTCAATGGTTCTGGACTCAGACTCATGATTTTTCACAAGATGATCGAGTCCCAGGACTCACCATGACTATTTGGGTATAAGAAAATCACTGCTTTCTAAGCTCAAGGGATGTGCTGTTTTTCCTTTTTGCATACAAGTACATGTACTCCATTGGCTATTCATTGTAGATCACAGACCTTGACCCCCGGGGGGGGTACTTTAGAAATTTCTGGGTGGGGATGTGCCGCTGGTACCCTGGAACCCTTAACCTATACCAGAGCTAGTTCAGCTGAATTTTGCCACCCTATACTAGAGTAAACTCCCCAAATCCCCCCTATCCTAGAGTAGCTGTTTTCCATAAACTACTGAGGTCACTAGCATAGTCTAGCCAAAACAAGCTGAGTTGTGTAAATTTCAAATTTCAAATTTGATTTTTTTATATGTTTGAGTGGCAATTCCCCGTTTCCCTACTCCAGATAAAATCTTCAACCAACTGATCAGTTTCCTGAAAAATGATACCCTATTCTAGACCCAAACACTCTGATTTATATACCCTATCCCAGAGTAAACTGCTTGAAAACCATACCCTTCACAGCGGCACATACCTATATAGCCCATATATGGCAGTGCCCCCCCCGGGCCTTGACCCTGATGTCGTGATACAATTTATACTGGCTACCTAATAACCTACTTAACAATAATAATTTTATTCTCAAGTGTCACCAAACTTCAAAGATGCCTTTGAGTAGATTTTTTTAGATTTTTACAAGTTTTTGTCAGGTGACACAATCCTTTGATCCTTAAACAGCTATCCTTTATCAGGTCTTTTTACAAGCTTTCATGAACATGACCAATTAAAGTTCCCTTAACTGACATTTCTGGTTACACAAAAAATTTTGTGTATCCAGTGCGAAGACACTGGGGCCTCACTTATATGCTGTGTTGATAAACACTAGGAATGCTTTGAACAACAACTCAATGAACAGAACAAACAACAAATTAATAAGCAGATTCATAAATCAGTACTATTTTCTTGTCAAAATCATTTTACATATAAATAAAATTTAACACCCTTTTTAAATGTGCAGTCCTTACCTACAGCTGAATGTGACTTCAATCATCTTCTCCTCCTTCATCAACTTGAGACAGTAAGGTTGCCAAGCTCTCAACCAGAACCTGCCAGCATCTCTGAACAAAACTGTATGACCATTAGGAAACTCCACCCTAGTACTAAGCTTGTGAGCACGAGAAAGCAGATGATGGAACAGAGGTTCAGGTAGGAACTTGGTGAAGAATACATAACACTTCTTATCAGTGTCATCATCATACCATATGGGCGTGTCCCTTTCTGAGGCCATTGGTAACAAGGAGGGTACAAAGTGTGTTGGCTGCTCCTCACCTTCACACACTCTGATCATGTTCACCTTACTATTTGCCAAGGGGCAGATCAAATCATATTCCTCAAGGAATGCTGTCATGGCTTCTATATTTTCCTTTACTTTTGAGATGATGTTCTTCAAGAGTGATTTTGTCAACAGTCCCTTTTTCTGTAAGAGATTCCAGTCATGCCTCAAGCCTCTTTCCTGGGTGACCTCAGGTGGTGGTATGACAAGTTGGATGATGATGTCAACCAGTATTTCAGGCTTCAGAAGCACCCAGTTGGACAAATCTGGACTCTGATTTCTCTCCAGGTAAATTACCAGACCCTTCTCATGGAAGTACTTCAAGGTGTCCTTTGACCAATCTGTGCAAACAAAATTTTCAAATGCCCTCGGAAACTCATCAAGTGTGACACAGAACTTGGCTCCCTTTGTTTCTGTGTGTCTGATAATTGCATCTTGTATTCTAACCCAAGGCAGAGGAATGTCATGACCTATGGTTTCCTTGCAGTGCTCAGCAACATCAACAATTTTTTTTTGAAGACACTGAATTCCAAAGTCACTTTTTCCAAGAGAGTTCTCAACGGGAAAGAAGACCAATCCTTCTACATCATTCACTATCAGTTCATCACAGTGGGAATTCCACAGGTTTCTTCCGAGGTGGAAATCAATTATTTCAATATCTTTTTCATCAACAGTTCCTTTATGAGTTCCAACAAGAAAAATTAGTGCTTTGGGTGGTACATGGCTACAGACAGACTCAATCCAGAACTTAAGTCTTTGAATTCCTACATTCTTTTCCGTGAAATCATTCGCCGCAAACTCAGCTATGTTAAATACTATGAGGTAAATGGCATGTCCTCTAAGAAACATGTGATGGTACGCATAATATTCTTTATCGCCAGCAAAGTCAAGTATCTTCAGTTTGAGAGATGAAAACTTTTCATACAGTGCACTTTTCAACATTTTTTTGTTGATCGTAAGTGCTTTTCCAGATACTAATGTGATCAACTTGTTTGGGGTTTTAAAGTTCCCAGGGACCGTTGAATGGAGGTAAAATAATTCCACATAAATCGTATAGAAAATGGATAAAGGAAATAGAATTACAAAATAAAAACGTGCTGATGTAAACACGAGTTTATAGTGGTGAAATATTAGAGTGACAAAAAGTGATATCAATCCATATATGTCCCAAGTGTCAGGCCGTGGCAATAGTTTCTCCAATCGCGGACAAAGACATTCATAACAAATAGAAACTGGAAAATTCAATACAAAATGGTAAACGCACAAGTCAACCACATAAAAAGGTCGAAATGACAGGTCTGTGCTTTCCTCCAATGCTGTTTCAGGAACTTTTCGGAATGACGCAACAATAAGTGAAACTGCTTGAAAGCCAGAAATAAACCCAATGGAGATTGATAACAGTAAGCGAGTGAAACAGAGGAACCACAGAGAAAGTTGATCCTGAATAATTCGTCCGGTATAGAGGTGTATAAAGCGCTGATAGTCGTTCATCCATGGTACCGAAGGTCCCATTGCTACAAACAAAGCGACAAAAGTGATTACTGTGGCTGTTGCCAAATACGGTAGTTTCGCATGAATAACGACCAAGTCACAGTAAGTTTCATCCCAGTAGCAAATAATTGCTGCGAGATACGAGCCTATTAATAAACCTCGACGCCTGATAATAAAACTCAACGTGGCTAGCATAAATCGTAATTGATTGCGAGTAAAGTGATATGAACACAATAGAGCAATCTCCGGAACATAATTCATTGAGAGGAATAACATTGCCCCAGCGGTGAGCCAATAATTTTCTCCCATTATTAACATGACCAATATGTTAACCACATAAAAGGCCCACAAAAGTAAATGAAACGGTAACGACATTTTCGACAACACAAACTGCTCAACTACAACGTTACTGGTTGCTTCGCCAGTTCTAATAAATAGCACTTCTACTGTTCCATATGTGAAGAACCTCCAGAGGTCTCCGAAAATAAGTTCCGTCATATTGTAGTAGTTCCACTTTTGGTCCACGAGACTCGGATCTATTCCTTGTGTCTTGGTTTGATTGGGATCAAATTCCTTTCCTGTAAGCGATTTAACCAGACTTGTTTTGCCAACCCTAGAGTCGCCTAGAACCATACACTGACCGTGAAAAACAAAATAACTTTCTTCTTCGTTCTCAGCAGGGCTTAACTCCACGTTTTCAAAATAGACCTTTTCCTCAGGCTGCCGAGACAACTGCAACGGAAGGCTACGATTAGCTTCAAGCATTGTAGTAGACTCAACGACAGGACTGCATTGTCCTCGATCCCCAACATTTCAAAAATTCCCAAAATAAGCCCCTCCAAATATAAGCCCCACAAACCGGTAACGCAAAAAACTCGCCGTTAAATTGCCCCTCCGAATATAAGCCCCCCGGAGGCTTGTACTAGGAAAATTGCCCTCAAATACAAAGTAAAACAAAGCAAAAACGGTAAATTTACTTCCAACTATAAGGCTAGCCCAATCGATCATGAGACGCAAATTTCCCTCCGTAGATAAGCCCCTCCGAATAGCTTGCGTAGTAACAGCGAAGCGCGCGAGGGAGACACGCGACAGACTCCCCTCACATGTGATACTTGCAGAAGTACCTCATTTTGCATCCCGCGTGGTTTACGGCCTGTAATAGAGGGCTTTCCCGCTATGTTCCGGGGGTGCTGCGGGTTTTACAGACACCCTTCGGTCATTGCTAAAAAAATAAATCATACCGTGGCCAGGAAAAGAAAAGAGTACTCGGAAAAGATGAAGAATTCATGTTTTTTGTAGTTCATTTCTTTATCATCGATTTCTGAAAACCGGAAGCGCTTCTAGTCTTACGTCAAATCGTGTGCATCTGACAAACCCTCCTCAAATTTCCTGAGATAGGAGACGGCTGCAACTTTCTGACAAATAATGGGGATAAAGCACACCTTCTGAAAAAGTTTTGTGTTTTTCAATCTATGTTCAACCTATACAGTAGCTAGCTGCTCCACTATCTACTTGTAGTTCCCAGTCCCTGCACAGTGATAGCAACCTGCTATGACTCAACGCCCTCAAGAGCCTCGACCCCAACAAAGCTTGTGTGTCGGGCGAAATTCCTGGATGAACGGCATCTGAAATGGCAACTTCTGTGTGCAAACTTTTCAAGTTGTCCTTGTCTCTGGGTGCAGTTCGTGCAAACTGGAAACGTTCTGATGTCTCGCCGGCGTTTAAAAAGCCGGGACGACCTAGCTCGCGAATACAGCAAACTCTCCTCGATCGCTCCTCGCCGCTAGGGACGTTTTGCGGGAGAGAGAAACGTCCCTCGCGGCGTGGAACGAGGGGAGACCGCTGCATTTGCAGGGTAAGTACGACCCCATCCTGGCTGTGAATTACAGACCAAATTCTCCCTTTCTGCATCGTTTCCAAAGTTCTGCAGTGCTACATTTTTAACCTCTGCTACCCCCACTTTTTCTATCACCTTTAACATTTTAAGAAAGCACTTAAGGCACATTTTAGTTACTGGGCTGCCTGTGCGCCCAGTCATAAAATGGGCTTTCGGTCGTCGGTGTCAAAAAGTGGTCACCCAGGGGAGGGAAGACACGAGGGTCTGGTGCCGAGAAACGATGTTTTCACAAATGGTTTCATATGAGTTTCTCTTGCACGGAGCCTTGCACGGATACTTTTTGTACCTTGTCTGCGCTCCCCCTGAAAAACCCACAAGGCGTTGCGAACCTGAAGAAAGCTATTTGCCTTGTTCGAGGGCGTCTGGAAAAACCGGAAACCGGAATCCGGAATAGGAACGGGAATGGGAACAGGAACCGGAACCGGAACCGGAAACAGCAACGGAACAGAAACAGCAATGTGAAGGGGAACCGATACAAGAACAGGGATATTATTTACTTTAAATTATTTTAATTCGAATTCAATTTATACAGAAAATAAGAACACTACTCTGGTATCATGCTCCCCCCCGAATCTCTTTATAATACGGCAGCGAGGAGGTAGAAAAAGCCGCAAGTTAAATAAGTAAAGCAACAGCTTTGCGAGTGCATCGTATCGCGCTTTCTGTCAAATTCTTCACCGCGTATGCACAACTATGATGTAAATGATCAAATCTTAAGTTCTCTTAAGAACGTGAACGGCAGGCAATAAATTTTATTGTGTCTTTCTAAGCTCGGACGCGGTCTCCAGCTTCATTTCCCAACCTTTAAAAGACTGGGCAATTTGGAATTAATGAGAAATAGTTTGAATTAAGACCCGAATTCAGTTTCTCAGTGGCGTTTTCGCTGGCGTTGCCGTCGTCAGATCTTAAGGTTCCTTTTGTCTCTCACAGGAAGGTGGTTATCACATGTTAATATTATTTGTCAGACCATGTGTATACGAGACACCCATCGGAGACGTTTATTGGGCTGCCATACACCTCAGGTTTGCTCCATAGATATATTGTACGGTGCTAAATTGGGAAGTTAACCAGAGATAGATAGTCCACAGCTTAAAAAGGGTATTAACATGTACTTCCTCCCCCTCCCCCCCCAAAACCCATCTCAGCGGCCAGTACTTCATCTACCTCAACCGCGTGCAATAGGGACCTTAATAAGCAAGCAGAACGTTGACGTCCAGGACATTAAAAATGGAAACTGGAAGTGGATGTTTTCTGTCTTTAGGTGCTCTGACTCAACAAATTCGCACACTGGAAGGTAAGAGGAAGAATTCAGATTCGTTGTGTGAGACAGAAGCGTTCCATCAAGCAACGGTCAGCGTTCTCGTTGCTTAAGTTCGCTATTATGTTTGACACGAAAACACAATGTGTCATAGGCTAAAGATAAAGAAAGGTTAATTAGATTAACATTTCAAGGGTGTTTTCTTGTTTCTTTAATTATTTCTCTGGCTTTTTATTTATATCACGATTATATCTTTTTCTTTTCATATTCTATACACTGTTTATATTTCCGTTCCTATTCCGGTTCCTATTCTATTTTCCCCTTATTTTTCGTATATAATCTGAACAGGAATTAAATCCAGATTAACTTAAATTAAGGTAAATGTTGTCCCTGCTTTTATATAGGTTTCTCTTCCCATTCCGGTTCCTATTCCGGTTCCGGTTCCTGTTCCTGTTCCTATTTCCGTTCCTATTTCCGTTCCTATTCCCGATTCCGGATTCCCGCTTTTCCAGACGCCCCTTGTTCGAAGCGATTCGACCATGGGAGTCACTCTATAATTTTTTTATTGTTCGAGTTTAAGTCAGTTAGATGATGTTGGCGCTGGGAAACTCAGAGAAATGCTCGCGTTGCATTCAAACCGACAGGCCGTTCACAGTAGGTTTACACTAAAAGATGACTGTGAGCGTCAGGTTTGGAACGCCGTGGCCGCTTCGTGAACTCAAAGAGAGAATTATCGACCGATGTAGTACATGACCAATTAAGAAGCACAATTTATGAGCAAAGTATTTCACCAGT